ATTTGGCTTCGCAGAAATGTTTATCCCTGGCGCCCCGCCCCATCAATTCGCAAGACCAAAATAGGAAATAAGTTCCAAAAAAAAAAAATGAACGTAAGAACAGGTGTTTGGCCTTGGATGCGGAAGGAATGGCACTGTTGTTTGATTTGCACTTTGTACTTGTTGCTGGCTGCTCTGTGGACGCATCCTTACTAGTGGCTTCCTTAACGCCCAGTTGTAGGACTTTGCTCTCAAACAACTCTTAAGTGCATACTAATTAAGCAGCACCTGAAACAGAAAGTAGATTTAAACAACGTTGATCACAGGAAGAGTGAAGCACAGGGGAACAAATAAGGGAATAGAAATTAAAAAGGAGAGTTCATTTTCACCCTCCTAAAGCCATCGAATACTTCTAGGAAGGTACTTAAATCAAGACCTGGGCTGTCCGGTAGAAATACATTGTGAGCTACACTATGGAATTCAAAATCTCCAGTTGCCCCTTTTTTTTTTTTTTTTTGGAGGTACTGGAGTTTGAACTCAGGGCTTCACCCTAGTTGCCAAGTGCTGTAGCACTTGAACCATTCCACCAGCCCTTTTTTGTGTTGGGTATTTTGGAGATAGGGTCTCACAAACTATTTGCCTGGGCTAACTTTGAGCTATGACCCTCCTGTTCCCTGCCTCCTGAATAGATAAGATTATAGAAGTGAGTCACCAGCGCCTGGCCAGAAGCCACATTTTTTAACAAATGAAATTAATTTTAGTAATGTATTTTTGTCTGACCCAACATACTCAGTGTTGTTTCAACATATAGTCAATGATATTAATAAAATTATTTCACCTTTTTTTTTTTAGGTCTCACTATGTAGCCTAGGTTGGTTTGGAACAGAAGAGCCTCCTGTTCCCCCTCCTGAGTGCTGGGATCACAGGCGTCACCAACACTCCTGTTTGTTTTACTTTTTTTATACTAAGTTTTGAAATTTCAGTATTCATTTTACACTTACCGCACATCTCATTTCCAACTAGGAACATTTCAAGAGCTCAGTAGTCATCTGTAAGCTGGATGTGGTAGCTTACACCTGTAATCCTAGCTACTCGAGAGGCCAAGCCATTCACAGTTGAAGGCTTGCCAGGGCAAACAGACCCACCATCTCAACCAACAAGAAGCTGGGTGTGGTGGTGCACACCTGTCACCTCAGCTCTGTAAGAAGTGTAAATAGGAGAATCATCAGGCCCACAGGCCATAAAAGGCTAACACAAGTAATTCTCTCTCTCTAGAGACAACCTACTTTTAGTCTATTGACAGTGCACTCCTTTCCAAATAAACTTTGCCATCATTTTCACAGTTTAAAAAAAAGGTAGAAACGAAAGGGACTGGCAGCTTGGCTCAAATGGTAGGTAAAGTATTGACCTAGTAAGCCAACTAGGTACCACAAAAAAAAAGAAATCACATGCAGTTAGTGACACAATATTGAACAGCAAAGATCTACTCTCTGCAGTAATGACTGAGTAATTTAACTAGTTGATGGATGGTATTATGGACATGTAATTTATGAAGAGGAGAAATTGTTAATTCAAATGGCCACAGAGGCTAAGTAATTAACAATAAAAGATGACCGATGTAAAACAATAGGTAGTAGAAGGTACTAGTAATCACTAGAGACTGCAAGCTTGTCACTGGTAGCTCATGTCTGTAATCCTAGCTACTTGGGAGTCTCAGATTGGGAGGATTGTGTTTTAAGAACAGCCCAGGCAAATAGTTCTTGAGACCTTATCTCCAAAATAACTACAGTAAAATGGACTTGAGGTGTGACTTAAGCACCAGAGTGCCTGCTTTGCAAGTGCAAAGCCCTGAGTTCAAACCCCAGTCCACCTAATAAAAGGACTACCTCTCCTGAGTTTTAAAACACAGTGATGTCTATGTGAGGACCTGAGTTCAATTCCTAGCACCACAAAAAACTGATGGCAAAAGAAGACATTCTGTGCGCAGAATAGACAGCTAATTGCTAAGAATGTGCATTTGAGTCCCTCCTATGAACTATAGAATTCAAATGTATGCATTGGACCCAGGGCCTCCACAAGGCTCTACACCCCCAGCCTTGTCTAAAACAAAACTTGGGTACTGGAGTTTAAACTCAGGGCTTCTGCTTCAGGTGCTTGACTATTTGAGCCATGCCTGTAGCCCTATAGGAAACATTTTTTGAAGGATGTTTTTTGTTGTTTTGCGTTTTTTGTCGTTGTTTTAGAGACAGGGTTTTAACCCAGGCTGGCCTTAAACTTGCAGTCCTTGCCTCAGCCTCCCAAGTGCCGGGTTTACAGGCATGCCACTATACCTAGAAGAGAGCACATTTTAACAGAATAATACACAGGCAAAACTTGAGAATTTGATGAGATTTCAGGGTGGATCCTATAGAAGTGTACTCTTTAATACATTAGGCCATCATTTTTTACAACTCCTAATCATAGTTTGACTTTAGGACTTTTGTACTGAAGAAATAATTTCACAACCATCTTGGGTTCTTTGTAAATTAATAAGCGTGTATCATGATTTTTTGGGGGTTTTTTTGGTTTTTTTTTTTGCAGCACTGGTATTTGAACTCAGGCTTCACAGAAGCCATTCTGCCAGCCCTGTTTGGGTATTTTTGAAGATAGTGTTTTCAAAAACTATTTGCCCAGCTGGCTTCAAACCGTGATCCTCCTGATCTCTGCCTCCAGAGTAGCTAGGATTGTAGGCATGAGCCACTGGCACCTGGCTTTTGTTGCATTTCAAATTTCAAAAATTCTAAACTTGAAAAAATTCGCTCTAGGTTTTCAGAGCTATTGACTAGCAGATGCTGGATTGGAGATATGGCTCACTGTAAAGTGCCTGTTTTGCAAATGTGAAGCCCTGCATTTAAACCCCAGGCCCACAAAAAAATTTTTTTTGAGGAACATAATCCTTAACCTTTGAGGAGTAGCACAAAGTTATAACCTGAGAATCTGATGAAAGCTAAGAACTCTATCCAGATACTTTGTATACCACACCCCTATTCCCTAAGTCCACGCCAGACCCTGTAGAAGATGAGACCCTGTACAGGCCCAGAACTTCCTATCTCAGACACCTAGGTGTAGTAGTCCCCCTTATCTGTAGGGAATGTTTCAAGACCTCCACTGGAAGCCTGAAACTGCAGAGTACCAAACCTTATATATTCTGTTTCTTTCTGTACATACATACCTGTGATAAAGTTTGATTTTTTTTTTTTTGGAGGTACTAGAGTTTGAACTCAGACCCTCACATTTACTAGGCAGGCACTCTGCCACTTGAGCTACTCCATCATCCCTTTTTTGAATTGGGTATTTTCAAAATAGGGTCTCATGAACTATTTTTCCCAAGCCAGCTTTGAACCGTGATCCTCCTGATCTCTGCCTCTCAAGTAACTAGGATTACAAGTATGAGTAATTACAAGTGCTGCATGTGTGAGGCCCCAGCACTGCTAAAAAATAAAGTTTAATTTATAAATTGAACACAGAGATTAATAATACTAATAATAAAATAGAACTATAACAATATAGTATAATAAAATTGCCAGAATCACTAATCTTGCACTTTGGGATCTTTACTAAATAAGAGTTACTTGAACACAAGCACTGTTACACCTCAACAGTGGATCTGATAAATGAGATGGCTAATAAATAGAAGGGTAGTGTTTATAGTGTGGATATGCTGGCTAAAGGGATTCATATCCAAGGGAGACAGTAGATCAGTATGAGATTTCATCATGCTACTCAGAACAGTTTGTAATATAAAACTCATGAATTGCTTATTTCTGGAATTTTCCATTTAATATTTTTAGACTCTGATTATACACTACCATATCCCTTTATCTGGAAGTGCCAGTATAATTAACATTTATAATCAATGAGAAATGGGATCTCTCATTACTAAATACTCCAGTTTCTCACCCCCTCAGTGGGGCAATTCTGAGGTATGTTCTACTGTAGTGTTTTTCAAAATTTTCTAGCATATAGTTAAAAAAAAAAAAAGTCTAGTATGTAAGGACCATCCAGAGAAAGTAATAAAGGCAGATGCCTTGACCCAAAAGTTTGTTTTCTAACCAAACTCTTGGGAGACACTGATGCTGCCAGTCCATAGACTATTCTTTGAATAGCATTGCTATCTGAGGTTCTCCAGTGAGACTCAGCCCCAGTTTCCCAAAGCACCCTTAATTGGCTTTTCTCACTTCTTTACATTGCTTGGATTTCTGGGACACCTTCCAAATATCCAAATCTTTGTTTCAGAATCTGTCTGAGGTGTATGTGTGTCGGGGAGAGGGGGTGTCTAAACTGTGAAAACCCTCTCCTTAGGAAAATGCATATAGAAATAATAGAGTTTTGCAGTTACCAGAAGATCACAAATATGTTTGAAGGTCCTTTGTGTACCTCCCCTTCTTCTCAAGGTAATGACTATTCTAAACTTGATGTGTAGCTCATGTGTATAATCCTAGCTATTCTGGAGGCAGAGATCAGGAGGATCTTGGTTTAAAGCAAGCCCAGGCAAATAGTTCATAAGACCCTATCTCAAAAGAACCCTTCACAAAAAAAGGGCTGGCAGAGTGGTTCAAGGTATAGCCCTGAGTTCAAACTCCTGTACCACACACCAAAAAAAAAGTAGCCCTTACTTCTTTCTTAGCACCCTATTTCCCTTTCCTGGTTTGCTTGTTTCACAGCTTCTAATTGGCTACATAGAGAGAGCTAGCACCATAATTGCCAACACCTATTTCCTAACCTCTGTGCACAACAGCTTCTTAGCTTTGCTCACATGTGGGCCAGCATGTGTGTTTGTGCATGATTATTTGTCATGTACTATTGAATAAGTATTTCTTTGTATATACCTAATGAATGTGGTTTTGTGGGTGGGGAGGTAACAAAAGCTCAGGTCTGGTCTTAAGTCTGAATAATGAGTGTTTAGTATTTGGCTTTAATTAGTCTTTGTACATTGTTAGCCTCAGCATTCATCTGCTCTCAAATACCAGAGGAAGAATGAGTTCATTTCCTTGAAGTTTATTGACTGTTACCAGTGGCAGAAAAATTCCATACAAGAGTAGGTTCCATATGGAGCAAGTAGAAAGGGGAGTTCTGAATTGTTGAGGAAGGATGCTTGGATTGGGGGATTAGAGTAAAGGATGGAAAGTCAGATCTCACCCACCTTTTTTCCTTCCATTCCCATAAGGATACTAGATTAACAGTGGGGGCATCCTGCTCAGCATTCCCTCTCCAAAATGGAACCAGAGAGGGTAAACTGCAAATTAGAGAAAGAAACACCTCACAGCTCCTCTGTTTCTCCATCCAGGGGAATGCCAATATCCACATTGTAGTCTACAGGCTCCCCAGAACTCAGCCAGGGAATAGGGGTTCGATTGAAAGAAGGCCTGTTGGAGAGGTTCTGGTTGTAGAGGACCAAGGGTTCACTCAACAGAGGCCCCAGATCAAACTTGGGCATCTGGAAGGTCATGCGTTTAGAGGCCTTCTCATATCCACCATAGGGCATTGCTGTCCTAAAAAGAGGATATATGATTTAATTAAGAATCAGAGCAACAATAATAATAACAACAAAACAACAGAACATTATCACTGAGATATGACACTGTCTTAAGGAAGGAGAGGTCCATAAATTCTAGTTTGAGGTTGTGTCTGCATTCCTTATCTTCTCCCTTAGCACTCTATTCTCCTTCCTGGTTTGCTTGTTTCCCCAGAGATAATAATGGGGAAAAGGAGTATGGTGGGTGCTTGATACCTTTATTTCATGAATTGTTATGACCCATACCAGTATTTCAGAAAAAGTAACCCCAAACACAATAGATCCAAGGGTCTAAGCTCATCTTAAATTACAGTGGAGACCCCTCAATTCCACCTGGGCCCCAAATGAATAGTGGATGGTCTGGCTGAGAGGAATTAATAATTGAATGCAAAAACACTTCTCTAAGTCTTTCCTATCTTGCTCTCTAATAGGCCTCCTATCTGTGGTCTAGAGTTGCCCAATTCCAAAAGAATAGATACTTAGAGCTTTACTATAGCAGGGTATGATGAAATAGAATCAAACTACAGAGAGACCCATGGCATCCTCACCCTATTTTTTGTTTTAGTGTTTTGTTTGTTTGTTTGTTTGCTTTTGGTGGTACTGGAGTTTGAACTAAGGGTCTTACACTTGCTAGGAAGGCACTGTACCATTTAAGCCCTGGCATTCTCACCTTGAATGGAAGGGATACTCAAGAAGCCTTCAACCACATAATATGTTATTCCTATTTTAAATAATAAATACATTTCTCATTTAAAGCAACCAGGGCTCAAAAAGCAGGGTGACTTTCCTATGCTCATATTGCTAATAAGTGGACTATGAACCAGAATTCATATCCTACCTCCCAACAGATTTTTCCTTCATCACACTGCTATCATGAAGCTGAGCTAGAATTAAGAGAGCAAAGGCCTTCCATTAGGGCCCCCATATTCCTTCCATCCCTTCTTATCTCCTCAAACATTCAAACTGTAGCCTAATGCCAACTAAGGACACAGTACCATACATTGAAATGTATCTGGTTCCTTCCTCACCACCCTACCTGTTGAATGACTTATATTTGGGGAGTTCAGGTTTGGCCCCATAGGCCAGCAGGTCAATGCCAAGTTCCACTTTTTGCTGGGGATCAACCCCCATGGCTCGCTCCCATGGGGAAATATAGGTCTTGAACACAGTGATATGCTTTCCTTCTCCACCTGCCTGGTCTCCTGGTAGCCATGGGAGAAAAAAGTAAGTCAAATAATAGCAGTTAGTTAGTAGCCAATAAAAGTTTATCCCACATCCTCACACTAGGAAAGGTGCTGGGACAAAGGACCAAAAGTATAAGGATTGTGGCATAATGACAGGCTGTGATTAGGTCTGTGAATAAATCTGAAAAACTAGAAAGATGACTGAAAGATAAGTTTTCTGGGTAGAATAGACACATTCCAGAATCCTGAATACCTCCTGGGTCCAAGATTTCTCAGTTTGCCTCCCTGCTCCCCACATATAGCCTAGGCTTCATTCCTGGATCTATCTGCTCAAGGGACCAGACATGTTATTTTTGGATGAGAGTACTTGCCTGATTCTGTCTCACCAAGCCCTGTTGTGCCAGCACCACCTCCTCTACCAGTCTGGCCCCCAGGACCGCCTGCACTCCCAGCTCCAGAACCAGAGCCCTGGTGGTGATGATGGTCAGAGCCATACTGTCCAGCAGAGCCACTGCCATCTGCCTGGCCTCCACCACTGCCCTTACTATAGGAGAATCCTTGACCAGCTGTACCCAGCTGTCCCCCTACTGTGGGAAGAAACTTCTGGAAGTGATCCTGAAAAGAAAATACAAAATGAGGGGAGAGGAAGGTTAGTAATGTATATGGAAAATATACAAAGACAGAGGTGTATATAGCAAGCAGGAGATGATCAGAGACAATGGCCAGCCAGAAGACCCTGAATCTTCTGAGATTCCCCCTTCTAATGGATAATGGATAACCTGACTAAGACAAATTAGACTGTCCTTAAGAGGTAGGACCCCCCACCTTGGCTCAGTTCCTCTAATGACACCACTCCCCTTTTTTATCCTTACCAAGGCAAAGAAAACCAAGACCTCAACTAAAATTTGAAAGGGTGGATTGCCAGGGAGAACCTAGTCTTAATTTAAAGAACTGAAGAGATCTCTGCTCCCTCCCTTCCTCAGCTTGTTCAGCAGTTCTCTCCCCCTATTCCATTTCTTTTTCCTCTCCCCTCTAGGTGCCTCTAAGACCAGGACTTTCTGACAGTGAAACTAGCAGGTGAGGGAAAGAGCAGCCAAAAGGGCAACACTAGATTCAGTCCCAAAGTCTAAAAATACACTACCAACTCCTTAAGGAAGCTCTCCTGGCCATCTCATCATGTATACCCCCATGCTCCACCCAGTTGTAACCAGACCCAGCAGAGAGGAGGGCACTGGCCTCCTAAAGTTAGATATGACCCACTCAGCACTTTTACTGTGCTCCTACATAGGGCCAATGAGAGACACTCCTGCCCTAGCCACATCCATCTAGGCATCTATTTCTACTCTCCCCCTAGCCAGCTAGAGAAGGTAGAGGAGAAAGAAAGGAAATGGAGAAGGTCCCCTCCTCCTCAGCTATAACATCCTGTGCCTGACCACTCTCCAATCCCTAATCCCTATTTCTCTTTGGAGAAAACTCCTGACTAGAAAATGTAGGATATCCTTTTATAAAAGGAATGACTCAATAAGGAGATGGCTATGAAAAGTCATTTAACCCCTTCTAGAATTGTAAGATTTAGCTAAATAAAATTACAGAATACTACTTATAATTGAAATTCAGATGTATAACAGATACTTTTTTTTAGTAGAAATATGCCCTAAATATTGCCTGGGCAGCATGGTTGTACTAAGAAATGATTCATTGTGCATCTGAAATTCATATTTAAGTGGGCACCCTATATTTTTATTTTGTTTTTAATGTCCTAACTGTTTCAGAGGACATAAGTTAGTGGGAAAAATACTCATCATATAAACTTGAAGGTCAAAGTTAACTGGATATCTTGTTTGGGTTTTGTTTGGTGGTTTTTTGTTTTTTGGTTTTTTTGTTTGTTTGGTGCTAGGAATTGAACCTGGGGATTTGTGCATACTAAGCACATACTCTACACCTCCAGCTCCAGTATCCTATATTTTTAAATGTTTATTTTATTTTTATCTCCCAAATATTATAAGGGACATACTTTACTAAAGAATTATTAGCTTAACTTCAAAATACAGGACCGTGTATTCTATGTTTTATATGATAACCCTACTTTAACACTTATCCATATCCATACTGGGAAGGAATTTTCTCCCTGAGGGTGTGGTACTCCCTACCCCTTCACTGGCTCTAAATGAAGACTGAGTTTCAGAGCTAGGCTGTAACTCACTCTAAAGCTGCTGGGTGCTCAATGTATCTAGGGGACTTAATGAGCTTATAAATCTTCAGGGAGAGGAAGTTGGGGGAATTTTGGAGGTCCAGGGCCTACTAAGAAGCTATCAGAAAAGGCAGTACGCTTTGAGAAAGTAGTTAAGTTCCAGACTTACCATTGAGCTGTCAGAGAAAACATCAGGGTGGTTCTCATAGATAAATTTCTCCACCCTCATCTGCCGCAGTTTGAACATCTTGGAACCCCGGTTGGTGAGCAGTGACAGCTCCTCCAACATCACATCCCTTGGGACACTGATCTTCTTACCCAGGTTCAGACCTGAGCTTTCTCGTCCACCTTTCAGGGAGGTAGGGAGGAAGAGGCAAAGGAAAGAGAAAAGTAGGGTTTTCTGTGCTCAGAATGCGATACCACCCAGAACTAAGTGTGTATGCTGGTTAAAGATCATTTGGGGAGCAGACATTGTGATGTCTGACCAAGGTCTATCTATCTAATTTGTGAGAGATTTTGATTTCCTGGGTTCAAAATTAGAGAGAATGCATGGAAACTGTGGTTACAGGGTGGAGATTGGGAAGACTAGAGTGGAAAAGTGAACAGGATCAAAGGGACATGGACTTGGAGTAGAAGTCAAAAAGTATAAGGGAACATCATAGATGGGGGCCCCTGAAGAAACTGTAGAATGGCAGGGGGCATAAGACCCCTAAAAAATTAGCTAGCATTTGTTGCCCTTAACGCAGAGAAACTAAAGCAGATACCTTAAAGCAACTGAGGCCAATAGGAGAAGGGGACCAGGAACTAGAGAAAAGGTTAGATCAAAAAGAATTAACCTAGAAGGTAACACCCACGCACAGGAAATCAATGTGAGTCAATGCCCTGTATAGCTATCCTTATCTCAACCAGCAAAACCCCTTGTTCCTTCCTATTATTGCTTATACTCTCTCTACAACAAAATTAGAGATAAGAGCAAAATAGTTTCTGCTGGGTATTGAGGGGGGGAGCGGGAGGGGGTGGAGTGGGTGGTAAGGGAGGGGGTGGGGGCAGGGGGAGAAATGAACCAAGCCTTGTATGCACATATGAATAATAAAAGAAAAATGAAAAAAAAAAAAAAAGTCAATAGACCAATCTTGTGTAGGGTTGGCCACCTCTAAATACAGACTCTTGTCTAACTTCTTTCCCTTTTCTTTTCAGTGAGCTCTAGCTCCAGAGAGCCTCTAGGTATTGGGAGAACTCTTCACATGCCCACCCTCGTATTTATCCCCCCAGAAAACATGCCTGTGCAGTTTTCCATTTTAGGTGCTTACACAATTCCCTAGCTCTGGGGAAAGAAATAAGGAAATTAACTTTATATTGAGATCTTAGTCTGTGCCATTCTCCATCATATTTTCTTTCCTCAAACATACTCACTGACTGTGGGTTCTATGGCCCTGGACCTGTCCTGGGACAGGCAGGGTGTTGTCTACGATTACAAGGTGAAAGGATGGAAGAATAAGTAGTTAATGTTTAATCCTTTCTGTCTCTTTCTCACAGCACTTCTAACCTCTCCCCTATTCGCCTATCCTCTCACCACTAGAATTTTTACTTATGCACTCTAAAATATATTCAATCTTATGTTATTTCTAGGACTCTTGAGTCTGGGATGCTCTTTTTTTTTTTTTTTTTAATTCTTTAAAAATTTTTTTTATGTTTTTATTTTTTTATTTGTTTGTTTGTTTTTCTTTTATTATTCATATGTGCATACAAGGCTTGGGTCATTTCTCCCACCTGCCCCCACCCCCTCTCTTACCACCCACTCCACCCCCTCCCTCTACCCCCCACCCCCTCAATACTCTGGGATGCTCTTAATAAGAGCAAACATGCCCTACCTCCAGTGAGTTCCATGATCAGCTTGCTGGATTTCCTCTTCTTGTTGGGGGCTGGGGTTCCTGAGAGCGGCATTGTGGAGGTGGATTCAACCTGGATGGGGTGTGAAGGGGATTTGAAGGATGGACAGGGACTGGGAAGAGTGAGTATCTATAGTAGGGCAGTACTTAACCTAGGGCTAAGGACAAAATTTCATCAATTTTCTTTTCTTTCTTTTCTTCACACACTCCCCACTGCCCCTGCCAGTGCTGAGGATCTAACCCAAGGCCAAGGCCTTGCATATGCCAGGCAAGTACTCTACCACTGAGCCATAAGCCCAGCCCCCATATATTCAAAGAAATATGTATTCCCTCAAAAAGTGAAAACTCACTGCTTTAGAGCTTCTGGGATTTTTGTTTGTTTGGTGGGTAGGAAGCAGAGCAGGAGGTGTAGCTGCACTCTCTGTCCCTACCTTCTACCAACATGTAAGCTGCTTTACATAGAGCCTATGCAGGGATTAGGAACCTAGCTGGCAGTGAAGGATATTTAAAAGACAACATTCCAGGCAGGGCAGGCCTGGAATGATTTGAAATCTTAATTTGCTTTGGGATATCAGGCTAGGACTATGATTCCAGGATCTCATCTCTCCTCAGTCTTCCCCCAAGGCTCAAGAGGGTAGAGAATGTTCTGCCAGAGTTGAAGAGATTCAGCCAAAAACAGTCTCCATAGGAAGGAGAGGTTGTTGGTTCTCCACTGGGCCAGCTGGAACATGGCCTGGGAGGTCATGGGTGTGCTCCCTCCTCTTTTAGTCACTCCTGCTCTGGGCCTCAGAGCTGGAGTAGACAGGGAATTGGGGCATTCAAACCCTGACACATGTCACATCAGCAATGTCATAGCAGTGGGGAATTCAGGAAGGACAGGAACATAGTAATAAGATCTGACCACAGATGGAGACAAATTGAGAAAAGATACAGACTCCAGCCCCTCCTTAACAGAAGTTGGCACATAGAGACATGCTGTCTTCTGCTGAGTCCTGTCTTGCAAACAAATCTGCAATTCTACCAACTTAGCAGGGTCTCAGACTCTCTTCCCATTCATCAGGTGCCTCCCCCAACATCTCCATTCCCCCCAACCTCCTTGGCTTCTCTCCCTCTAACTCTGGCTCCCCTGAACTAGACAGATGATCACAGATGAGGTCGGGGGCTACTCCCCCAGGATCAAGAATCACAATTGCAGACACAGAAGTCAGCAGAGTGGGCTCCAGCCCCTTAAACTGTAGAGCTGCAGACTTACCGGCTGCTCAGTTGGTGGTCAGCTCTCCCTAGGGTCCAACAGCTTTGGAGGACTGAACTGCTGTGACCAGAGAACCCGAGCTGGGCAGGCGTGGGGGCAGCACTGGCAGTGGGGGAGGGGGGTGGTTATTAATAGAGATGATGAGTGCAGGCAGCTCAAATGGCACAGGGGGTACTGAGACCCTGGAACCAAGATCCTGCCCTCCTTGCCCAGAGGCTCAGGAAAGGGAGAAAGGCCTTTAGGATTCTTCCACTGAGCTGTCTGAGCCAGGGAATTCTGTCTACCCAGGGGCTTCCCATTCCTTTGCTCCTAGAGTCTGAGATCCAAAAAAGCATTTGGGGAGAAATTGAAGATAGAGAGAGGAAGCAGGCAGCAAGTGGCATGCAGGAATTCAGACTGGGACAGAGAGACCAGAAAACAAGCCCTGAGGGGCACTCAGAGCTGGAGAGACCCATGGGTGTATTTGGGGGTGGATGGGTTTAAGGACCTAAATTTGAGGACAGGATGGAAGTCTTCACAATGGAACTGCTCTTAATTTAAGGTTCCTGAATAGGTTGGTCTTTTACTGAGAGGGCCAGATACTGGCAGGATGAGGAACCCAGTGCAGTGACAGATGATGTAGGGAAGACTTGACAAGTTATTCTTTCTGCCTCACTCCTTTTTCTTTCCTCTTAAACTCTGGCAGTTTCAACAATAACAAGGTAAACGCCTGTACTGTCTTTTAGGCCTAATTTGCTGCAGGTTGCTCAGTCCACCCTTGCTGTACGGTATAGATATTGTTGCCTCCCTGAGAAACCCATGTAAGCTTCAGATCTACCAGGGCCTTGTTCTCAGATGTTTGTTTGGTTTTGTTTCTTTGTTTGTTTTTTGCAGTACTGGGGTTTGAACTCAGGGCCTCATGCTTGCTAGGCAGGAACTCTACCACTTGAGCAACACTTTTTTGCTTTGGGTATTTTTTGAGATAGGTTCTCACAAACTATTTGTCTGGGGTTGGTTTTGAACCATGATCCTTCTGATCTCAGAGGTTCCTTTAAGTGAAGCACACATCCCATAAGAGCTGGACAATTCTATTTGTACTGTTGGGCAGGGACACCAGCCTGAGAACTCCTTTGGAGGAAGTCTCCTCTTCCACCTTCTGTTCAGGTTCTGGAAACAGCTACTGCTGCATTTCTGCTGCACTCACCACTGCCCTATTGCAACTGTCTAAGGGGGTAGTTTTTGAAGCTTCCAGAAAACACCTCTGTGCCTCTGTGAGCTATCTACTTTTCTGAGCCATGTCCTTCTTCCATCCTCTACTTTTCACATCCAGGCTAGGGGATGAAAGACTACCCTAGCCACCACCACAGTTGACTTTTGCCCAGACCATTTGTGCCTCCAAATCCTTCATCCTTGGTTCTCCTCTGTTTTTTCCCAACCCAAAGAAGCAATTATAAGTAAATGAATAAATAAATAAATGTAACTTCACTACTACCCTCTCCTCAAAAACAAACTCAGAGTTTGACCTCCTATGGCAGTGCCCTTCCTTTGAAATTTTGAGACTGTACCTGAGAGCATCTCATTATTGGTACAAATATGCCCTCTGGTGGTAAAATTGAACAATGGTACTTTCCTTCTCAGAAGTTTTTCATTCTAGTCTGCCTCCAATTGCCTTCTTCTCTATTCATCTCAACTGGCACCAATTCATCTTTCCTTCTTTCCCCTCCCATCCTACCTCCCTCTACAGTCATTGATTTTTTTTTTTGGCAGTACTAGTGTTTGAATTCAGGTCCTTGTGTTTACTAGGCAAGCACTCTATCACTTGAGCTATGCCTCCATTTCCAGTCATTGATTTCTTTTCACTTAATTCCTGGAGAATGTTTTACAGGGTTGCTTCCTCCAGGGAGATAGAAAATGTTGGCACCATGCACTGGTGGCTCACGCCTGCAATCTTAGCTAGTCAGGAGGTGTGGTAAAGCCCTGAGTTCAAACCCCAGTACCACAAAAAAAAAAAAAAAAAAAAAAGAAAAAAAATATTGCCTAGCTACTCAGGAGGTAGAGATCAGAAGGATCGTGGTTTGAAGCCAGCCACAGCAAATAGTTTGTGAGACCCTATCTCGAAAAAACCCATCACAAGAAAGGGTTGGTAGAGTGGCTCAAGGTGTAGGCCCTGAATCCAAACCCTAATACCACACAATAAGTAAATAAATAAATACATAAAATAAAATATTGTTGGCAAAAGGCTCAAAGGGCCTTTCCAACTTTTCTCAGTTCTATTGCCTGTAAAGTATAGAGCAGTGGGAGGATAAGGGGAGAACTTGGATGGGGACACCAGGAAGAGAAAACCAAGAGGAATGGTGGAGGTGGCCAAATCAAAGCAGGATAGAATTTGTAGAAAAGAACAAAAAAACAAAAGGGTGAAAAATGGGAGGGCAGTAATGAAGACAGAGATCAGGAATCAGATCAGGGGAATGAATTAGAGAAGATCAAGGAAAGATCAGAATATGGGTATAAAACCAGAAGAGATGACAACAGAAAGTATGGGGTATAAGTTTATTCTTGTGCACAAACCGAAGAACTGTGACTCACACCCAATATGCAAAGGAAATGATCACTTTTCAGGTCAAACGGCAAACAGGATTGGTGGTGGTCTTGGTGGGAGAGGAGTACATACCCTTCTAGGATCAGAAATCAGGACTGAAGCTGAAAAGGAGCAAGAGCTGGGGCCTTTTGAGGGATGGAGTAGGACTGAAGAGAGGTTTGGGCTCCCTACCCTTTCCTTGGTAGTCATGACAAACTGCAGAAGATAAACTGATGGGTAGACTCCCAGGAGATAGCACAGTTACTAACTCTTCTTTCAACACTCAGCACACACCCTCATGCCTCCCTCCCACCATCATCACCCTTCATGCCAACAAATACATTCTCAGACTTTTCACCAATAACCCCTTTGAACACAAATGGTTTGTTAGCCAGCACTGCCCTTTCCTTCACCATCTCCTCTCTGTGGCTTGCTCACTTTCACTCATTTCTGTTCCCCTGGTTTCTGCTTCACTTTCCCCACTCTGTCTCTCTTCTCCCTCCTTTCTGTCTTATGAATGACTCATGAAGCAATGAGGCCAACAACTTGTTCATTCTCTGAGGAAATTTTCTTTTCTCTTTTTTTCTATTTCCTGGATAATGGGTTGCTCAGCATGGACCTATTGATGCTAACTTTCTGAAATCCAGAGAAATAGAAGAATCTCTAATTCTGCTCCTGGACTAGCTGGTAAAACACAGCCCCATGCAAATTATCCCTGCTTTTCAGTCTTGTCAGACTCCATTAGTTTCACAGCATTCTGTACATTTGCTACAGATGCTGGTCTGTTAGGGGTTATTCTCTAGTGAAGCTTTTTCTCCCTGCTAGATAGACTTCATGTGGAAATATCTGACCCTTCTACCAGTAGAAGTTCAGACTCAAATTGGGTCTTTATTTAGACATCTCCTTTTACTCTTGCCTCAAGCAGAAGAGCACATATGTGCACATCCAATCACTTTCCAGATCAGATCCTGCCACACACACTTGCACGTACTCACACATACACACACACACTTAGGTATTTGCCTAGGAAAGCAGTGAAGAGTAGGGGGCATTTAGTGTACACAGGGGTCAGTTCAGTCTGCTTAGTGGTGAGCCTCTTGCCTGAGGTCCCAGTGATTATCACTTCTACTGTGTGTTTCTCACTGCACATAAAAATGAGGCCCGTGGAGAAAAACACAAATGTAAAAAAAAAAAAAATACAGACCTGTGGAGGCCTGTGGGTGGAGAGGTCAGGAGATAAAGACAGAGATTCAGGCAAGGAAATAGAGACAAATAGAAGCAAAGATACCAAAGTGGAGATAATAGGTTAGAAAGTGGCAGGGAGTTGGGGAGTGAGGAGGAAGCTGGGGGATGGGACACTAACTTCAAAACTATGTCTGGCAGAAGGGAATTTAGCCTCCAGATTCCTTGAGAGAGTGGGTAGAATAGGGCAGGAGAAACAACTTCTGGGACTGGATGTTTCACTTTTCCTTGATTCTGGGACCTATTCTCTGCTCATTGGTGTCCTGCCCCAGGCCTCCACACATGAGCTTGCAATCCTGTTCTGGTGGCTGAGAACCGGGGCCTGGCTACCTGGAAACCACAGGAACTGGATGTGGCCCCGAGGCCCCTAGGAGACTCTTGAAGAGGGGCTGAGCTAGGGACAGGGGCTGAGGCCAGCTCTGCCCTCCAGATGGGCTCATCCAATGTGGTGGCTGCTCGCGGGGCAAGCACAGTGGGGGCCAGGGGTTCTGCAGTGGGCTGGGGCGCTGGAGTGGAAAATCGACGGATCTCCTGGACTCGGGCAGTTTTAGGGGGCCCTGAAGTGGGGCCAGGAGTTGGAGGAACCTCGTCAAAACAGAACATTGCAGTTTTAAGTTGATAGGGCTGATGCCGCATGAAATCCAGAGCCTTAATGCCCTGCTTTGGGGTTGCCCGAGGACCCTGGGGTTGGGCCTTAGGGAGAGTTCGGGCAGCTTGAGGGAAAAAGGGTGAGAGCAGTGGGTTGTAAGCAATAGGAGGTGGGGCACGGATGTTGGGTGAGTATTTCCACGAAGGAGGCAATGAGGGGGTAGGGGAAGGACTTCTGGGCCGAGGGCCAAGGCCAGCACCAGGTGTAGCTTCAACCACATACCTGTCAGCACGGCTCTGCCTCTTGGCAAACAGCTCCCCACCCCTACCCTGCAGCCTTGGTGGTTCAGGGATTCCAGCAGAAGTGGTTGCCCCATTCACTAGCCCATCAAAGAGCCCTTGAGTTGTGGGCTTAGGAGCCACTGGGGGTGGAGTCTTATGAGTCATAGGGGGTGGGGTCTTGGGAGCCATTGGAGGCGGGGTTTTAGGTGTCACGTAAGGGAGAGTCTTGTAACTCCTGCCCCCTGGTGGCTGCATGAAGTTGCAGGCTTCAGCTCCCAGGCTCAAAGCGTCCTCCTCGGGACCAGATTCAGCACCCCCGACCCGGGGTTTTTCATCCAGGTTCTGCACCAGCGATAGCAGTTCGGGATTCGGCGAGTTCTTCATCTCCTCGTTTCCCTGCCGGAACATCTGCTTCCTGGTTCCCCGGCGCCGGGCCTCCTGCAGGATGCCGGTGCGCGCAGCTGGCACAGAGATGCGCTGCTCCCGGGCGCTGGGGGACTCAGGAGCTGCGGAGCCTGGGGCGGGCGCCTCCGGACGCGCAGAGGGTCGCCGAGGCGCGGATAAGAAGATAGAAGCGGTGGAGGTCATAGCAGCTGCGCTAGGAGGAGCAGGGGGCTCTGGGGCACCTCCCGGTGTAACAGGCCGACTGGGGGCTGGGATGTACAGGGAGCTGGTGGCTGTCACAGGGCCCAAGGAGCGTGTGGTGCTGGGGGAAGCTGATGATGGCACGTGGCTGGGAATCCCTGTGGTGAAGGTGGGCAGAGGAGTGGGTCCTTGTGGAGAGGACACAAAGGGAGGTGGGGCGGACACGAAGGGGGGTGGTACCGAGCTGATACCTCCCAGACTTTCATTTACTCTCTTGGGGGCTAAGGGCCGGAAAATAACCGAAGTTGTACCTGTTCGATGCCCTTGTAAGCCAGGGGTAAAGGGCCTTGCTGACCTGTTAAAGATGCCTGGAGCTGGACTGGGGGCTCCACCACTTAGAAGGAAGGGTCTGGGACTGGCTACAGAGGCCGGCAAAGAGCTGGGTGGGAGCACAGCCGCCTCTGGAGGAGCACTCTGGGCTCTAGGTGGTGACTGCAGACCTTGCCCATTGAATATGGCTGGACCCACCTGAGTCAGCTCCAGGGTGCTAGAGGCTGCACGCTGGCGCTGCTGTTCAAAGAGCTGGACCCCTCGCCCAGAGACCTCGCTCAGCTGCCCTCCCAGCCCGGCACCCTGGCCCTCTGATGCGCCTGAGCCCACCCTGGCCAACTCCATGTCCAGATAGGGGCTGTCCCAGTCAGATTGATTGGTGAGGCTGCGGGCGTCGGAGAAGGCCTCTTCGTCCAACTCCGACTCACTCGTTGGTGGGACGCCGTCCTCCTCCTCCTCTGTGCCTGTCCCAGCCGCAGCCCCAAAGCTCACTAGGGTGTACTTCTTGGCTCTCTGCCTCCGTTTCTTAAACATAAGCACCCCCTTGGAGTGAGGGTTGGGGGCTGCAGTTAGCAGGGATGCAATGGTCCGGCATTTGGTCTTTGCCTCCTTCACACTCTTCTCTTGAAGGCTCTCCACATGTTGCAGTTCTGAGGAAACCAAGAGGCAAATTGATCAACCCAGCTTCTCAGCCTCTTCTAATCCTGCTTTTTGAAGCACCAACACCAATACCACCACCCCAAGCCAGCTCTCTCCCATCTCTTGTCTTCACTGGCGGTGCCCACAACGTGTCTTGCCTGTGGCAAAGTTCTCTGACTTGGGGACAAAGTGGAGGGTGAAAAGTGAAACCAAGGACAGTGACACTGCCCTGACCACAGCTCTTTTCCTATCTTCTCTTTCCTCTATTCTGCTTCAACTTCCCAGAGATGTGCCCTTAGCCACCTCACCCACATTCCTCCGCGGCCTCCCTTTCCTGACTGGCAATGTGGGGGAGGGGAAGCGTCATTCTCCATGGCAGGCAGGGGAATAAGGCAGGTCTCGGGGAGAAAAGATGAGAAGGGGCACTTTTCTCCTAGCGTAGAAGCTATGTTAAGAGGCTCCTCACAAAGTTTGGAATTTATCCTCTTTTCCCACCTACAACCAAAACACACAAGATCATGAAGATCTTCATTCACAATTTCACCTGTCATGTAGTTCACATCATAAGCACTCATAGAAATAACTCCCATCACATTTCAACAAGAGTATCAGTGTACTGAAAGCCAGCTGTGGACGTAATTATGTACTTTTCACTCTCATTTGTATATGGATACCAGCTTACATATATCTCAGTTCGCATACACATTTGTAAATATACCTGTCTTAACATGAAAACACAGCCACATTCACAGACCTACGTGTCCCAGGTGGCTCTCTTCTTCCCAGAGTTTCCCTTGCAGAGACCCTGTTACTAAGAGTTTGGACAGAATTTTAGAGTTGCTCTCGGCCTTCCAACTGCCAAAATTCTTCTTCGTATTTCTCTGTATTTCATACCCCTGCTACTCACAGTCAGGGATATTCTTGGATCCAAGACACAGGAAAAGCCAGAGCACTCCCTCCAAATCTTTAGGGTCCTTCAAGTTCACCAGGTAAATATATTCTCCTTTCCCCCAAGTTGGAGGGTGGGAGTGGGGTAAGTTTCTTTAGGGTCAGAACTGCTCAGGCAGCCACCCCAAGGCAGGCTTGCAAAAGACTGTGCTGAAGACAAGCAAGGCAGGGCTTCCAGTGCCATGTGGGGCCTAGATAGGTGGGGCCAAGAAGTAGGAGAGGCTGTCCTGCTGCTAAAACCCCGCCTTAGACATTTATACTCTCTAGACCATGGTCCTACTTCCTCCTCAAAAATTCTTGAAATTCCATCTACTTTCCATTCAAGATACCAAGCTGGTTTCTAATTAAGGCTTTCATTCCTCTCATCCCAACGTGTATAATAGAGAATAGTACTGTAAATGAGAAAATAGACACTGGAATCAGTTCAGTTCAGATTTTTAGTTCTTTGAAGAGTGACTTCACCTCATTGAAGTTCAGTTTCCTCATCTGTAAATGAGGATGATAATGACTACCTCATAGAGTTGGTATGAGGATTAAGTGAGATAATATAAGTAAATTTAGCACTTAACACAGTGCTAAGGCTCACTGTGAGCAACCATTACTCTCAAAACTTTCTTGACACTACTGTATATATATACAGACACTTTCTTGTGCACACATATCATCTCCATCATCTCCCACCCACTCACACATGCCTGCTTTCATGTATTCATAAGGTACTCCCACCTCTCTCACACATGCTTTCTGTTCCTATGAGCTTTTTACAGCATATGTGATCATAAGCCCTTTGACCTGTGTGCATAGCATCAACCCATTCTGAGAAAGAAGCAGTAACACTCTCCAGAGAAAAGGAAAAAGAGGACAGTAACAAGAAGGAGGGAACAAGAGAGTATGACTTTTCCCAAAGACCACCCTTCCCAAATGGTTGAGGTTTCACCCTCCATTCTAGACTCTAGTATTCTCTTGAATATGGGGAGGTAGTACCTGCATAGAATGGGTCTTTGAGCTCAGGAACTGGGCTTGGGACTTTGTCGAAGCTGGCTTGGCTGAAGGGCTCTTGGATGATGGGCTCAAAGGTCTTGGTCTCCATGGCGAGAAAGGCAGTGTTGGCTGGAGCAGGACCAGCTTGAGCCATCCCCAGTGCCTTTTAAAGCCCCTTTGTCTTATCCCCAGAGCTGGCAGCTGAGTGAGCTCACTGGGCTATTTTTGGAGCCTGGCCCCTTCCCTTCTTCCACTGCCCCACAAGTCCTGGTGTGATGGACATGGGCACCTGCCTCCCCTGCCCCCACCCCACCCCTCTGGACAATGAGGTTTGCTTAGCTAAAAATATCCCTGAGCCACTAACTACAATCTCACTCAGCATGATGGGAAGGAAGGAGTGCTAAAATGAGAATTGGGAATAAGTATGGGATCCTGAGCATGAATTGTAATTTCTTTGTGGGATATTGAACACTTGGGGATGTCAGACTCTAAACTATCATGCCCTTAGCCTCTATTCAAACTCAGAGACATAAAATTCTATGGATCGGGAATCAGAATGGTAAAGGGGGGGGACAAAAAAACTAGAGGGGGAATCCTGAGATTTCAAAAGTGACAAATAAAGGTCCCTATGAGGGGCAAAGGGCAGGGAGAAACTTTACTCTTAGAGCTGGCTCTGTGGCGCACATCAAAGATAGCAGAGTCTTAGATAAGTGGATTTGGCTTTTTCTGCCCAGACCTACATTTTTGCCTGAGATAAGGAGCCGAAGATCCCTCCCTCTCCTACTTCCTAGGGATCTCATGACCACCCTAGAGCCTCCCAGTTCATAGGAATCTCAGCTGAACTTACAAATGTCAAAGATAGCACTGATACTATGGTTGTAATTAACACTGTAAAGAGCTCCTATAGCCTTATCCTGCTTCCAAATACTCCCCTTCCCTGTGCCACCCCCAACCCCATCCTGATACCTAGCAAAACAACAGTAACCATATAACCCCTCATCTATTCATGCCACTTTTCAATTTCCCTACTTAGTCTGTTCTTGGGTTGGATTGAACCACCTGTACCTATTTGCCACACTGGTTCAAATAGCAAAAATAATAGGGACCCAGAGAATAATTATTCTCCCCTTCCACTGTCACTCTTCCCTAATTGTCTCAAAGACTGTGTCCAGCAGGCATGAGGTAGATAGCATGGATGGATATGGAGGCATAGATTTAGGGCTTAGATCCTGGCTAGGAAAAAAAGAGTTCAGGCACTCACTGGCTTGCTTGGCCTTCTGGGTGTAGGTGGTAGTAAGATCTTCTGCCACTGGGTGGGGAACAGGCCCCACCATAGGGATGAGATGAGGGCCAGGCCGGAGTGGACCATGGGGTAACAGCAGCGCCTCGGCTGGGGGTGGTTGAAGGGCTGCCCCTTCCTCCCAAGATGGGGAGCTCACACGACTGTCACCCTGGCTGGGAGGGCCAGGGATGGCAGGTGCTGGCTCTGCAGGGCTGTCAGACAGGTAGACTTCATCAGGTGGGGCTCCTGGAGGGGCGGGTCTTGTGGGGCCTCGACGGCGGGGGCGGCGGGGCTTCTCATGGGTGGCAGGGCCATCAACATCACTGTCTGTCTCTCCGTAGTAAGCCTCACTGTCAGGGGGTGAACGAAGGCTCCCAGGCTGAAGAGGCTGAGGAACTGGAGCACCAGGGGGCTCAGGACTCAGTGGAGATAAGGGTGACAACACCTGAAGCTCTCCAGGGGATGGAGATCTCACAGGTCCTTCATCTGCTACCCTGAATGGGAAAGACATCAGGACTTGAGAGAGGAGCCTTATTCCTAAAGACTAGAGAGATATGGAGGGGTGGGAGGAGAGATAATGGAGCAAGATTGGATTAGCATACAGTTGGAATGGATGGACTGATGGACTGGGAATACTGAAGATCTGAAGACAAAGTGAGAGGCAAATGTGCTTGGAAGGCTGTGTGTGGAAATGGGCTTTGAGGAAGCTATGAGGAGGACATAGGCCAAGGGTCAAAATAGGCCCATTTCTCAAATACCCACTTGACTACGCATCACTTAATTACAATACATTCAAATCCTCTGGGAGGCATACACAAACATTTATACTCCAGCAGAAACCCAAGAGCAGAAATTGGTACTTGTTAGTTGCTGAGCCAGGCCAGTGACACATGGAGCTGAGACGGGCAATCAGAGTCCTGGACCTAGGGGCAAAGGAAATAAGTCCATACCTCCTCAAAGTGAGGACCAACTGATTTCCCGAGGCATCAATGAGGTTCATAGCACTGGCATGAGAGAGGCTGGTGCAAGAAACCCCATTGATTGCCAAGAGCTGGTCCCTCTCTCGGAGTCCTGCCCTGCCAGCCTGGCTCCGTCTTCGAATCTGAAATGTTGAAGAAGACATTGTAAATGATGAAGGACTTAAAAGGAAATAGAATGAGAGAAAAGATTCACAGAATTTTACTTTGAAGGGTAAAAAGAGTGAGGAAGTGCATGGGACTACAGCTGAGGAGGACCATCTAGAGGGAAGGTGCAGATTGGTGGGCGGTAGGGTAATCACTGCATGAAAGAAGCTTGGAGAAAACTGCATGGAGGAGGAACTAGAAATGGTGGTATATCCCCAAGATTTTCCACCAAGGGCAATATTTCTACTAGCCAATAGTTATTTCCTAGGCCTTGGAATCACAGATTAAAATTTTAGAAATTACAAGTTAAAATTTTAAAAGAGTCGTCCAGACTGAGGCAGTCCAGCCTGATTCTGGTATGTTGTGATTGTGTGTTGTGTGTGTGTGCATGCGTGCACTATGCATGTGCACACATGGCTAACATTTATTGCGTTCTTACTGTTAGGTACTATGCTGTATGTGGTATTGTATTTAGTTCTTAGTATGATTCTATGAAGTACTATCATTGCCCACATTTTATAGTTCAGAAAACTAAGTCTGTAGAATAAAACCAGAAGGGTAATGACATCATCAGAAAGACCAGATATTGCCATAACCATCGTAGCTTGTAAAACAAAAGTCGTGCCTAGTGAGAGAAAGGATCTGACTTAGAGAAAGACTTAAGGGCATGGGCAAGGCAGGGTAGGGCAGGACAGGGCTGGGCTGGGCTGGGCTAGGTGAGACAGTCTCAGTTTGTCACATATCAGCTTAGTCAGAGAGAAATTAGAACCTTCCCTACATTCCTGAAGTTTGGAATAGAGGCACACACATAGAAGAAGAAAGACTGGATGACCAGATCAGGCTTCTGCTACCACAGTGCTACAGGAAACTGAAGCAGGGCCTTCTTTTACTCTGCTCCCTAGAAACAAGGAGTTGCCTTTTCTATTAGCTCACCAGAAAATGCTATGGTCAGATACTCCCCTTCCAGACTTGAGCATGCTTCCCTGCCCACCTGCCCACCTTCCCACCACCTCTTCACAGCCCCTCAGTAACTCCCTCCCTCAGTGGGACTCTCCCCAGATTCCCTTGGGTTCCCTTCCTCTGAAACTTCATTTCAGGGGTTCTCCCTTACCTTGGACACCTGTAAGGGTTTCCTCTGTTCGGCCCCCCCGTGAAGTCGGAAGCCCCAAGGGGCTCCCCCTGATAATGTGACCAGCACCTCCTCCTCAGCACCCATCGCTCAGCTTGGCCTATGGCCTCTGGAGTATGAACAGTGTCTTAGGGAGAGAAGTTGAGGTGCTGGTACCCCGTCCGGTCTGCCTGTCTGGCTGTCCTGCTCCTGCCGCTGGAAGCCTCCCCCCTACCCTCCACCAAACACCACAGGCTGGTAACTTGGCCCTGGGATCAGTACAGTCCAGCACACATGTCCCGTCAATCGGAGCTGTGCTCAAAATAGTTGCCGGCTGTACTCTCCTCCCTCCCATAGCCCTGTTACTCCTAGAACTAATTATAGCGTAAACTTCTGCCCTCCATGTCCTCCTTTCTACTGCATGAGCCTTTTACTTAGGACTCAGTACTAGCTCTCTGGACTCTATAACTAATATATGCCCTTTCAGGGACCATGCCTTCCCTCATAGGATCATGAACTAATCCCAATTGCTTCTCTCCAGGACAGCTGGACAGGCCGGCTTGGTGGGGTGTCAGTGCCTCAGCTTCTCTCACTGGGACACCGCCCAAACTCCAAGAGCCATAGGCCAAGCTGAGTGATGGGTCTTGGGTGCTGATCACATTTTCAGCCCATTTTAAAGTGGCAGTGGCCATAGCCACAGGAGCTTCAGTTCCAAGGTGGCAAGAAACAACCTTCCATGCAAGCTCCCAAGAAATAGTGCCCCTTTGCTGTATGAATTTATTACTGAACTAGGCTCATTTCACCTGCTGTACAGTATGCCAATCCCTGAAATGATGAATTTTGCTGGGTGCCGGTGGCTCACGCCTGTAATCGTAGCTACTCAGGAGGCAGAGATAAGGAGGGTCATTATTCAAAGCCAGGCAGGGCAAATAGTTTGAGGGACTCTATCTCGAAAAAACCCATCACAAAGAAGGGCTGCTGAAGTGGCTCAAGGTATAGGCCCCGAGTTCAAAAAAACCCAGTCTGCAAAAGACAAAACAAAGCAAAACAAAACAAAGAAGTTTATTCATGAAGTGGCCACAACATAAGGAGACGTAAGACCCAAGTCTTAGATCTACCTCCTTGAGGAAAGAATTTAGGAATTTTTATGGAATTAAGAAGCAGCGTGTCTGAGGCATGGAGCAAGTTGATTGATGGTGAAAGATCAGTGCTCTGAACATGTGTAATCAATCCTCATAGTTTATTTTATAGGCTGAATGTTCAGAAAATGGTAGCATTAGCATCATCTGAAGTGGAGTGTTTGGCTCTCTCATATGAGACACTTGTGTAGGCCCAGGTGCAGTCAGTGGTTTCAGCAAAAGCAATCTTTCAGTCCTTAAAAAGCAACATAGGCAATCATTATCATTGTGCCCATGTGTCAGAGGTGTTATCCACAGCAAGGCTAGTACGAGACCAATAATATATAGGTCGACTGTGTGATCTCAAAAATTAGTGATTTTTAAAGTCAACTAAAAGTAACTAAAAGCAAGCACATCTAGAGGGTTTATTCAAGTTTTCCCTTTGTTTCAAATTTACCTATTAATCATAATGGAAATTTATACCCCACTGTAGGTGCTATGTAGAGGAATTCTGCTCTACTTCAGTTGCACTGTTACCTCTTCCTTTTCTGACAACTTCCCAACTCCCCACCTATAGGGTTAATCCTTCTTTCTCCTGGAAAGCATATGTATCTTCTTATATTTCTACTGTTTTATTTCTCTTTATTGTATTTTTTTTTGGAGGCACTGGGATATTAACTCAGGGCCTTGTGCTTGGTGGGCATGTCCTCTACCCCTTGAACTATACCTCCAGCTACTATTTTATTTCTCAATCAATAGTATAGTTTATTTATTTGCCTTTCTTCTCTCCTAGATTGTGAGAAAGTTGAAGACAAGGACTGTATGCCTTTCATAACCCAAGCAGCAGTGACTCACATAATGGGTGCTCAAGAAATATTAGCTGACATGAAGAAGAACGAAATGTTATCATTCGCTGGTAAATGGATGGAATTGGAGAACATCATTCTGAGTGAGGTTAGCCTGGCCCAAAAGACCAAAAATCGTATGTTCTCCCTCATATGTGGACATTAGATCAAGGGCAAACACAACAAGGGGATTGGACTATGAGCACAGGATAAAAGCAAGAGCACACAAGGGAGGGGTGAGGATAGGTAAGACACCTAAAAAACTAGCTAGCATTTGTTGCCCTTAATGCAGAGAAACTAAAGCAGATACCTTAAAGCAACTGAGGCCAATAGGAAAAGGGGACCAGGAACTAGAGAAAAGGTTAGATCAAAAAGAATTAACCTAGAAGGTAACACCCACGCACAGGAAATCAATGTGAGTCAATGCCCTGTATAGCTATCCTTATCTCAACCAGCAAAACCCCTTGTTCCTTCCTATTATTGCTTATACTTTCTCTACAACAAAATTAGAGATAAGGGCAAAATAGTTTCTGCTGGGTATTGAGGGGGGAAGCGGGAGGGGGTGGAGTGGGTGGTAAGGGAGGGGGTGGGGGCAGGGGGGAGAAATGAACCAAGCCTTGTATGCACATATGAATAATAAAAGAAAAATGAAAAAAAAAATCTGGTACCCATTAATCATTCCTATATTACTATTAATAAACTTTTAAAAACCTAAAAAAAAAAAAAAAAGAAATATTAGCTGAAATTGTCATTATTCTAGGTGGTCATGGAAAGATGGACATAGATAGGTGCAGGTAAATAAAGCAACTTATATTAATAATAAAATCTCTGAGGATTGGGGGAGAGTTTCAAGTGTAGAGCACCTGCCTAACAAGCACAAGATCCTGAGTTCAAATCCCAGTACCACCAATTTTTTTAAATAAATAAAATATAAAATAAAAGTTACTTGTTTCTATGCATGAATGTGCCCTACATAAAGAGATCTTCTGTTAAAAAAAAAAAAAACATTACAGGGCTGGAGGGGAGCACCTGCCTAGCACCTGAGTTCAAGCTCCAGTGCCTCAAACAAAACAAAACAAAACAATAACAACAAAACAACATTAAGCCAGGTACTGGTTAGAGGGTCATACCTCTAATCCTAGCTCCTTGCTAGGCCGAGATGGGAAGGATCATGGTACCAGGGCAGCCCTGGGTCGGGGGGCAGTTTATGAGACCCCATCTCAATGGAAAAAGCTCGGTGTAGTGGTGTGCACCTGTCATCCCAGCCACGGCAGTAAGCTTAAAATAAGATAGTGATCCAGACTGGCCCAGACAAAAAGTGAGCCCTATCTCCAAAATAACCAGAGCAAAAAGGGCTTATGTAGTGGCTCTAGTGGCAGAGCTGCCTAGCAGTCACCAGGCCCTGAGTTCAACCACCAGCAGCAAAGAGCAAGGAGCAAAACTCAGCACCACAAAAAACAAAAACAAAACCCTAGCACTATAATTGTGATTATATCAAAGGCTACAGAGGCTTTTATTTTGGTGGAACTGGAGTTTGAACTCAGGGTCTCACACTTGTTAGGCAAGGTGCTCTTACCATCTGAATAACTCTGCCTGCCCCTACAGAGCCTTTTGTAGTTCTGGTTTGGCTCTTGGTTTTGTGGAATAGCTGCTCTCCTAGTATGCTAAGTGTTGTTTGAGTTGGTATATGATGTAGTCATAGAAACACAAGATTTTAAGTCAGAACTAGGCCTGTCCCACTATTTATTAGTTGTGTGTCCTCATGCAGTCACTTGGACACATTAATAAAAAGGGTACCTAGATATTCCTTCATTCACTATTCAAATATTTATTATGTTGGGCACAGTGGTATCCCAGCTACTCAGGAGGCTGAGGAAGGATTGCCTGAGCCCAGGAGTTCAAGACCAGCCTGGGCAACATAACAAGACTTCATCTCAAAAAAAAAAATTATAGGGCTGGTAGAGTGCCTGCCTAGCAAGCATGAGGCTCTGAGTTCAAACCCCAGTACCACCAAAAAAACCCCCCAAAAAAAAACAGAAAAGAAAAAATTATATATATATATATATATATATATATATATATATATATATATATATATATATATATATAAATGTTAATTACATGCCAGCCATTGTGGTATACCAGTGGCTTTTAATTAACTCTCAGTGTATATCAGAATCACTTGGAAACTTTGACAGCTACTGATTCCCTAAAATAAGACACAGGTACACATTAACATTCATAGGTCTCAACCCCAGGGATTCTGATTTTATTGGTCTAATACCTGGCATTGGCCTCACACATGCTAGGCAAGGTATTAGGTTTTTTTTTTTTTTTGAGACAAGGTCTCACTATGTGAGCTCAGGCTGACCTCAAACTCTCCATCCTCCTGCCCCAGGAGTGCTGGAGTCCCAGTCATGTGCCATCATGCTCAGCCAGTATTAGCACCACAGATGATTATAATGTGCAATCTAAATTGAGAACCATTGAGTGAAGAAACAAAAAATAATAAAATGCAGCACATCAGCCTTTATCCTCAAGAAACAATCTAGGGTCTACCACTTACTAGGGGTGTCATCTTAAGGAAGACAGAAGACAACTATTCTCCTATGGTGATATGGAGATAAATGAGATAAATCATGTGAAAATGCTGAGCAGATGGCCCAGCCTACAGCAGGTGATCAACAAATACTAGCTGAATTTTGCAAGTTATTAATTTAGATCAGTGGTTCTCAATCTTCAGTGAGCAAGAGAATTACCTGGGAGAGAGTCATCTTTGAAGTCTAGCATCAGTGACCTTTGGGACCGTTAAAACCAAAGCTTGCTGGGAATCATTTCCAGAATTTGACCATGTCTAGGATGGGTTAGAAATTTCTAATAAGTTCTCAGATGATACTCGAACTATTGATGCCAGGATCCACTGACAATCAACTATAAACTGACAACAGGAAAATCTGTTTGGTTAATAAAGCATGTGAAATGCCTAATTCAGTTTCCAGCACAGACTGAAGTGCAGTTTTTTTTTTCCATTAATGAACCTCATTATTGTCAAGAATGAGAGCAAGAACTTTTTTTTGGGGGGGGGTGGAGGTGGCACTGGGGTTTGAACTCAGAGCTTTCTGGTTGTCAGGCAGATGTCCTACTACTTTAGCCACTCACCAGCTCAAGAGCAAGAACACTTTTGTTTACTATTGTATTCACAGAACTTAAAACATGAATTGGCCTACAGTAATGCTCAAAAAATCATTAATTGAATATTACTTAAAGGATTAAAAGGCCTGGCATGGTGGTACATGC